CGAGCGTCGATTTTGCGCTTCTTAGTGCATTCTTGGTGCTTCGATTTTTTTGTTATATGGTGTATTAATTGTACATTAAATTTTAAAACTATTCCTTAAAATGGGTAAAAAATACTGGAATAATTTCTTTTAAAATTGCATTGTAAAATTTAAATCAGTTTTTTAATTAATGCTATAAAAACGTTACATAGGAAGTAAAATTAAAAAAAAGATAATATTTAAATACAATGTTTCAAATAATCTACCCTTGTAAAATAAGTACTTCAAATAAATGTATTTAAATATAGCAATGCAAATAATTATTCCATTATTTCCTGGTTTTTGGTGAACTTTAAGTAATAAAAAAACTGTAACGAAGGAAATTATCCATGAAGAATAGAGATTCCAAAATAATTTTTCTGAGTTTTGACTGAAACCAGATAACCGTTAATTAATATAATAATAAAACATAATCTTAACAACATGACTCCGCGGTGATTTTCTTCCTACTCAAAACAAAGTAAAAGAGCTCCATTCTGAAAATAAGTTATTTATCAAATCATGGCACGTGCAAAAAGTTAAACAGAGACGATACGCTTGAGCGACGTTTTGAGAAACAGAGAAGAGTTCCGTTTGGCGCGCCTGGAAATTTAGCAGTTTTTTTTTTATCCTTTCGAGGTGCTTCAAAAGTGGATGAAATCATAATTCGCTGATTTTTCTAAAGATTGTGATGGTTTTAAGTCATTATCATCAAATGTGGGAGGTTTTCATTTTTCTTCAAGATAAATGCTATCTAATGAATGTTGAAAAGTTTGAGAGCGTGTTATTTATTTTTCTGCAATGCAGGAAATAAACCAAAAATAAAACCTAGTGCTTTAGTTATTGATTGTTGTTAATACAATTGGTTTTTTGAAGTAGGTCAGAAAATGCGAAGGAAATATTTTTGCAGATTATAAAACGGATCTATATATTCTATCTCCTTTAAAGTTTCTTGAAATAAGATTTAATAAGGCGCGAAGAAATTAACACATTTTTTATAACATATTTAAATTGTTTTCAACACTAGTTTATCTTTTTTCTTCTAAAAATATCCGTATATTTTATTTTCAAGCGTATGTAGATAATGTTCTGAAAGAATACGTTTACTTGATGCCATGATTCTTAATTTAAATCATGCAATGGCTGTTTCAGCATATACCTTAACTTATGAAGTAAAAAGTTAAAAAGCTTGCTGTAATTTACTTGCTTGTGATGTAGTTGACTTTTTTACTGTAGTATTAAAAAATTGAAGAAATCAATAAAATGAATTTAAAAAAAATCAATAAATTAAAATTGAACAAAAAGAGGAATTGAAATATATATACATANTATATCAATATATATATTAAATTAAAAATATTGCAATGAGTCCGTTTTTAAGATAAAATATTTTGCGAATGACTGGTTTTGATACAAAATATTTTGAAAAAATCCATTTTCACGATGAAAACCTTTGCGAAAAGTCTGTTTATAGACTCAAATTCTTTCCAAAATGACCCCCCCCCTCACAATGAATGAAATTGAGTACTTTTAGCTAATGCTTTCAATATCCAATGGATTTCATTTTCCTTTTCAAACTGTAACTTACCAGAAAATTAGATTTCATATACTTGATTTTGAATTTTAGCTCATTTCATTAATAATTTCACTTTCAATACTTAAAATTTAATAATAATTTTTCCTTCGCTTTCCTTCTTTCGCTTCCTTCGCTTTCGAATGTCACAGTTTTGCCGCAGTTTAGTTGTAAAAAAATGATTTTTTAAATGGTGTACCAGTGTAACACCATTTTTTTCTCAAAGGAACGACGGACATCTTATTTTTAGGCAGATAAATATTGCTATTTTTAGCAAACAAACTTTGTTATTTCAGCAAAAATACTCCTTAAAATAGCTAAGTCAGAATTGCGGTGTGTGCGAGCTAAGTTTTGACATTTTGCTACACAGTGGTTCGAACCCGGGTCACTTCCCTGGGAAACGAGCGCTCTGTTCCCATAGCTATGGCAGCTCTAGTGTTAAATTATAAAAAAAACATATATCTAACAATTACATCTAAGGACAGATTATAGTCCGATAGAGTACCAATTTACGTTCACATCAAATCATGATCAAAACCATTAAATAATGTCTGAAAGTAAAAGAAAGTATTTAAAATAATCATAAGACTGCTTGAAAAAAAAGAAGATAAAGTTAACTTACAATAGGTAAAACTGCATTGTGAAAATTAAAATTTGAATTAACGTTTTTAATCCGCTTATGATTAGTGGTAAAGCAAAAAAAAAATAAACTGTTTTGTGAGAAGCAGCTTCAAACCAAAAATATAGGAAGAAAGACTAATAAAAACAGCAATTTTTTTTCAATGAGCGGGAAGCGGTTAAATACAGAGAAAAAAATTTCATTGACATATCAATAAACAGTTTTTTTTCTGAGAAAAATATTATTTTTCTCCCATAGAAATTACAGTGTTATATTTCATGATTTCAGAAAGAAATATAACTTTTTTGTGAACATTATTCTAATAAATATTCAAATTAACATGTATATGAAACGTATGTCTGTATCTATATCTTAATGTGTTGTAGCTTAATTGCTTTAAACGGTCAGTACTATTAAATTGATAATAATTTCAAAATGTAGGTGCAATTTATTATCAAAAAAAAATGTAGTACCAGGTGAATATGAAGTTACGTTTTACCTTTTGGATTATTAATTGAAAAAAAAAATATATTAACTGTAAAAAATATCTAATGCGAAATGAGAATCGAAATCAGTTGTACAATTCAAAGTGTTACACAAAACAATTTGTTTGAATAAATGTAGCAACTAAATGTATGCTAAGGATACAGACGAAAAATTGGAGGAAAATATACTGTTTTCATATGAAAGATAAGCACTCTGGCATAAACTGAAACCCGATTACGTTACAAAAGCGCATGTTAACTATATGTTCAAATGCATGTCTGCACGTGTTCAAACATACCTTAGTCAGTTAAACTTTAAAAGTTCTCAAAAACACTTTTAACTATTCAACGGGTAAAATATAATTCTGTTAATACACTTGCACCTAAAATATTTACGATTGCAAACGTTGTCAAGATTTATTCGCATAAGTTATAAGAATAACAAGATTTTAATCGTATAAGTAAATGAGTAAAATAAAATAAAGTCAATAGAATTATAGACGACAATTTATGAAAAAAGGTGCTTGAGAGTTGCGGATATAAAGATTTTCTAATTAAAATGTGAACAATAATTTACTATTATTCTTGATTGATTATTCTTGAGTTGAAAATCAGCGTTAGTATTCTCAGACCAGTTAGATTTCAGAGAATGATATAAAAATGAATAGGAAAAAAGAAACTGAAAAACGTTATTATGCGTCTGAAATGTTTGAACCGATGCTTATTATCGTAAATTTAACATTTCGTTTAATAAAAATGCATGCGCATTTTATAGAAATTTTTTTTCCGCAACATTTCCTCAAAAATAATTCTTTTAATTTCCTTTTAAAAATTAACTAACACTTTTTGATATAGCGTATAGAATGCCTTTAAATGTCTATAAAAATAAATAATTCTAAATTTTTTAATGAAAAAATGTATTTTATAGACGGAAAATAAAGAATTCGCTAGATTGAATATACTTAAGTACCTAGTATATATTTTATGCATATAGTATATATTATATATTTTATATTTAGCCAGTATATATTTTAGTATTAGTATTTATTTTATTATGTCTTTATTTTACTTTTAAGCAATTCGATTTTTTGGATATTTTTGCATCCTAACATGCTAACAAAAATAAAAATCTATCATAAAATTTGTATATTAGATAAAATTTTAAATTAATTATAATGCACCTTTTCGCAAGCAATTTTTTCTTCTCAATCAACATGTATACAAAAAATTGAAATCTATCTTAAAATTTGTATCTTAGACCATTTATAATAAAATTAATCAGTATAAATTATAATAAAAAAGTACAACTTTAATTTACATCCTTCCTTAATAAATCTTTTCCTCTTAATAATACAAAAAATTTAAATCAATCTTGAAATTTATTACTTAGACCATTTATAATAAAATAATTTTTATAAATTATAATAAACATTACGCATTTAAATCAACTTTAATTTACACCTTTTCTTCTCAATAAACATGTTTACAAAAAATGAAAATTTGTCTTAATTGTGTCTTAGACTATTTATAATACAATAAATTATTATAAATTATAATTAAAAAAAATGTACACCTTTTCTTTCAAAACTGCTTCGTATAATTCTACTGTCTGGCGAATTTAATCTAATAGAACTTTTTCCACAAATAAGTATTTTATATTCCATCACAAAAAATTGTTTCATAATTTAATCGTTTTGAAAATAAGCTACATAGAATATATTAATCTATATTAAAAAAATAATAAATTAGTTTCTTTGCCGTACAAAAAAGTGATTCATTACGTTACTTGAATACAAATTCTGTTACATATTCTCAAGTTTAAATATTTTGAAAAGATTTATTTCATCTTTAAATTTTAAGTAATTATATTTGCCTTACTTGTAATAATCCTAGTGCAAGAATGATAAAAAAATAAAATTTTTCTTTATCCCGCTGATTCTTAGATTGGAATTTTAGAAAATTGAAATAGTAAAAAATGTGTAAATGGGTAATGCTAAAATCAACGAAAACTGAATTAAAAATTTAATTCATTTAATCTAAATTTTTTTTCATTGAACTTTTTCAAGAAATACAAGTTTTAGCTCCATTTAAAATGAATCTGATATTTCATAATTTTAGATTTTTGAAACATACAAAAACTGTACACAATAATATACTTTGAAAACGAAATAATATTTGTAGTTTAATAGAATATGTTGTAACGTTATTCATAAGTTTAACACTTTCATAACTATTATGTTTGAATATTGCTTATTCAAATGACATATTTTAGCTTTACTTTTTAGGTAATTGGAATTTTCCCTACCTTTTACGAATCCTAATCCAATCATGATAAAAATCCAACTTCTTTTAATTATCCAGTTGGTCTCCATTTTTCATTTGTCTAAGTACATTTAACTGAATGTTTTTCCCACAGAAATTCCACAACGAATAAGTGTTTTTAGTTTCTTTTCAAAAATCTATTTCATTATTTAACCGTAAAAATCTCTTACGGAAATGTAAAAGATTAAAAGAGAATTGCACAAAAAGTATGAAAAAGCTGAGAAAAATCTTCCTCTTTTCACTATTTCAGCATTTTTAAAAGAAAACGTTTTCCGTCAAAAGTTTTTTTTTCCTCCCGGCGAAGAAGAAAAAAACTATTTCGTTCTTATTGCTTTCACTTTTCCCTTATTTTTATTTTCAAAATCAGACGAGCTCCGTTTTTATGAAAACGTCACAGTCACGCTGTCAATAAAAACTCGGTTGGGAATGTTTTCCATTCAACCAAAACTCATTCCGGTCAAAACAGTGACTGAGGAGTTAGACCGCACAGCAAGTTTTGACAGTGGAATCGTTTTCCTTTGGATACCGGGGAAAGAGGAATGGATAAAGCTACAGTAAGTAGCGGCATCTGGTGGGGAAGGTTGTTTCAAAAACGGCGATATATGAATGGATATTGGGTATTTCTTTTTTACTGCGAGCTGGAAGCTGAGTAAGAATAAAAATGAATTTAATTATCGGTTTCATTTCCTTCAGAGCTATGATTTTTGTTGATGCTCGTGGAAATGAAAATAAATTAATGATTGATTCGTTTCACTTGTTTTGAGAGATATTCTTTAAAAAGAGTATTTTATGTTTCCGTATAAGTATGAAGAGTTAAATATGATATAATATTTTTCAGAATAAAAAAAATACTTCAACTGACAACAACATATGAATGGATATTAAATATTTTTTATAGACAATGGAAGTGGAATAAATTTAAAATTAAATTCGATTGGTTTCTTTTACTGTAAACATCGAGAAATTTTGTTGATGCTCGTGGAAATGAAAGTTAATTAGTGATTGATTCGTTTCATCTTAAGAACGATGCAATGTATTTTGTTATTATGCACGAATTTTTTCTGATATTTAATAAATTATAAATTTATGCAATTATTTTACAGATTAAAGCATTTGGGAAAGTTTCAAAATATCCTTTAACTATAATCAGATCTACGCAAGTTGCAATAAGCTACTTTGAAAAAATAAAATAACTAATTAAATTATTTTAGTTAATAGATTCAGATATTACCTCAATTGGAAATACAATTTAAATGAAAGAATCATTTGGATTTGAATAAATCTGAAAACAAATTTTTAAACTTAGAAATTTCTGTTCTAGGCTGTCATTGATTTGAATGGCAGAATTTGAACTCAGTGCCCTTCTATACCAGGATTGGTAGTTTGAGTCAAATAAAATGATTCATCTAGAGGAAATCTGAAACAATCATAGGAATTAACTAAAACCAATTACAATTTTATAAATAAAATAATAATAGCAATAACAACTCTCAATATTTAAAACGTTTGCAAATTTTCAAATAATTGCAATTAATCAATTGTAAAAATACTGTTTCAAATTAGCTTATTATGGAATAAAATCTACTCTGGTTTAAATAATTTAAAACTGATTTAAAAATATGTTTTAATTCATAATTTGTTTCGTATTCCTCTGATACGATCAATCAGCTTCTATGGATAAATCGTTTATTTTTTTATTCGAATTGAATGAGGTATTATGAAATGCATTTGAACAGAAAAAAAAATATTACACAAAATAATAGGCAGACTTTTTAATTTGAAATGAAACTGATCAACGCAAAATTCGGGTTTTCGCATTTAAAAAATTATCCAACTCTATATCAATTATTAACCAGACAATGGCTTACACTATAAAAAATGCTCGATCAAATTACTGTAGAAAGTGCCGAAACCCTGTGTTGCGGTACTCTTTATCGTAAAAGTCGCAGAATTATGCTATACCTTGATTTTTATAGTTATATTTACTATAAAATCTTTGAACCACTCAAGTTAAATAAATATTCTTGTAAAAATTACTGTGTAAAATTTAGCGGTAAAAATTATTTGATTCAAAATTTTTCAACCGCATGCAGCACGCAGTAATCGCTACATGCAGAGCCGATCAGAATTCAGTACCACAATAAAATTGACTGCTAATATTCCAGCAAGCATACAAGCAAGCATTCTGTCTCCTGTGTGCATCCAGGGAACTCATTTATGGCATAAGTATGATTAATCAAAAATCCCGTTTCTAATATCATTAATTCATTTTCATTTGCTTATTGTTTTTTTATTATGCTATGAAATGGATTCTAAAATCCAATTTGGAATAAATTTAAAATTATGCATTGTATTGTATAGTAATGATATTTCCTGAAATAATAATAAAAAAAGCATAATTCTGGTTAATATACCCAAAATATATGGTATTTAAATCCTTCATTTGGTAATCCTTCAGTCCATATTATAATGGTTTGCGAGAAATCGTGGGTTTTATAATTATAGATTTAATTACCACACATTTAGTTAAAAATAAGAAATTGAAAAGTGTATTTAACCGAATAAATGGCTTTGAGGTATCGTGCATTTCCACATTGCATTGCATTGCATGGTGCATTGCATTTTACCACAATTACCAGATTTTATCCCACATTCCCTCAGAAATAAAATTCTCATTTTTAACGATTTCATAGTTCTCTAGCTGTATTTCGTTAATTGTAAGAATCATTTCATCTCTAAATCACGTGATTTGTGACGAAAAGTGAGCTCTTAAACATATGATGGAAAAATTTCGTCAACTTGGAATTAGTATAGCAGTGCGTTGTGGGAGATTATTAATTAGAATGACGAAATTAGAATGAAGGCTAAACGATCAAAATTAGACTGGTGAAATTGGTCAAACGCTCTGTATTGTGGTCAAGAAGTTCGCCTTATACCAGGAAGATCCCGGGTTTAAATTCCGCTTCGGACATGGGTGTGATTTTTCTCTATATTCTATCTGACCTTCTTGTATTATCGAGCTCTAATGGCTGATTTACTTATCTGGTGGCCACGAAAAGTGATCAATGACACAAACGTTGTTAAATACCATGAGGCCTATGAAGTATACTTCATNTATGTATATATATATATATATATATATATTGACAAAATGTTCGCTTGGAGAAGATTTAAAAATTCGTTAAATTTGAGTAAATTTTTAAAGCGCATTATAAAATTACATTTGATTGTTAATTTAACCAAAAAAAGAACCAAATCCTTCGGTAAAAATTACAGATCTTTCTTTTCTTGCCATAGAGTCAGAAACGCAGTGACTTTTACCTTATTCTGGTAGTTTTCTCCATACTATTTTCTCAACGAATTTATTAATGCATCCAACTAAGCTGCGTATAAAACATCGTTTCAATTTTTAAAATTTATTTTTATTTTCAGTTGTTTATCACGTCGTTCATGATACGAAGTTGTTTCAAATGTGATTGAAACCGTGTGTATACAAACATAAATGTTTTTATAAACATTTTGATGAACAACTTTAAAATATAAATAAATTGCTAACGCATCCTTTTCCACTAAATTCTCATTCCATGTTAAAAATTAAGCGATATCAAGCAATAAATTTGCGCTATAAATAACATATTGTGCCATGTATTTTTCACAAAGGAAAAGCTTGCCTTGAAAATATTTTATTAGCAATGAACATCAAAAATTTCTCTATGCCAAGAAGAAATTAAGTAAATATCTTCTTTTTTACCCGTACGAGAAAAGAAATTGTAGCGTTAAAATCAAGACTTTTTTAAAATATTGAAGGGCACATTTAATTTTTCGGTTGCCTTGCTGAAAAGAGTACGTTAATTATATTGATAATGACACACCTGGAATTTTAGAATTTTTACGCCTATGTGGATGGGAAAAAAACGCAATTCACATCTCCTTGATAATTAGCTCATAAAAAATGTATAATTTTGTCGCGAATGGGCATGATGTTATTTTGTAAGTTTATTTTTACAAGTTTATAATATTCATACTTTAGAAGGTGTGCATTAATTAATTTCTTCAAGGAGGGATGGAATCTTTTCGTGTATACTCTAGTACCTTCTTTTTTTTAAGAATGAAAAAAAGTGTTAGGAAATTATTCTAGAAGCATTTACTTTTCATAAAGAATTTAATCCTGAAAAATTTCATACTTAGCGTAACTGCGTTTATGTTCATTTTGTTTTTATAGAGAAAAAAGCTAAACTATGCCTCTATTTTATGAATAAATACAGCACTCAAATGATTTATTAAAAGCATTTTAGAATATAAACATTTTATTATAAAAAATTAACTTCACTGAATTGTTTATGTTGCAAAAAATTTAAGCGGGTCTCTACTCTATGCCATTGTTTTATGAATGTGCTTCATATATGATTTATTCTAAGCATTTTAAAATATAAAAATTTTCTATTCATGACTTAATTGCACTGATTTGCTATATACTAAAAAAAAGCTCTAAGTACTTTATTTGCTTCATATATATCTTACATAAATAACTTATTATAAACATTGCAGAATATAAATGCTTCATATAAATGACTTAAGTATACGAAATTGTTTGCGTTTAAAAAGTACTCTAAATGGTTGTTAATAATTTTTATATGTTTTATAAATGTGCTGCACAAATGATATGCATATAAAAGCATATTTTTATATAAATACTTTACGTTGAAGATTAAATTCTAGTCAGTGTTTACATGGCAAAAAAATCTAAACGAGTCCGAAACTAAGTCGGATGTACTATACAAGTTATTTAAGAGAATGGAGAAATTCTAAACGGATAAGTTATTTTATTGTTTTGTTAATCTACTATTTTTAAGCATGGTAAAAATGATTAACTTTTATAATTGCAAAGGAAAAAAACTTTCCATATTTTTGTTTCAGCTACTTGAAATTGTTTATGTTTTTTTTAAAAAAAATATGATCGGCTTCTAAACAATAGTTTCATGAATACACTACTTAGATTAAATTTTAATGGTATCATAGAATGAATTTTATTCTTGTTGAGATTTCAATTCAATGAGATTTATAAAGGAAAAAACTTTATTATTCTGATGTTTAAAAGATTAGCCATATGCATTTTAGAATAGAAGCACTTCGCATAAAGAATTTAGTTTCAACGAGTTGTTTTATTGGAAATTTTGTTTTTATAAATGAGTGTTGAATGATGTCTCTTCTTATAATTCTAATACTCAAAAGATAAATTATAGTTATTGTAGAAAATAAAAGCTCCGTAACAAGGATTTCGTTTTAACGAGTTTTTGTTGTGGAACATTTAAGAGAAAGTAATAAATAAATATGTAAGTATTATATCAATATAATGCACTAACAAGCTATTTCAAGTATTTTAGAATCTAAACATTTCAGAGTAGTTTTTCAGAGTGAGCTTTTTTTTTAAAAATTGAGTTTCATTTCTTTTTTATAAAGATGCTCGACTATAACTGTT